CAAGACATTTCTCTGGAGTGCCCTTGATGCCTTTTCCAACTTCTCTTTCTTTGCTTCTGCATGCCAGTGCCTGACAAAGTCTCTCACTGCACAGTCTCAACTTCTCAGTGCATTCATGTTTGCCTTTACCTTACACCCCCAGTGTCACTTGCAGCCAACCTGAAGGGGAGATGGCTACGATCATCACCAGCTTGTTAGCACCACCCTGTGTGTCTCATAACACAGCAAGGACTCAACACCCTCACTCCCTTCATCCAGCTCAGAGCTGAGCTTAAAAGTCGCTGGTGGTGGTGGTGGTTTTGGAGGGGACAGGATGCTGTTGTGCTGTTGGTTGTTCAATGTAGCAGCTCTTTTCATTTCTCAATCTATAAACCAGACTCTAAGCCTCCAGAAATTTATTCATACACAGATATGAGCTAGTCTTGTCTTTATATGATGACAATGGATCCAAGAGATATTTTTTTATAAATCCCTCATAAAAGTAATTCTGTTTTGCATCCAGAAACAGAAAGTCTATTTTTTCCATTTTACTGACATAATTTTCTAACTCTTCTCGTATTTCCTTTAGCGAGCACAAGCATTAATTAATGGTCTCATGTTTCTTTCCCACATCCACCAAAGCAAAGGGAACCTGCTTTAGAATTTTCTTTCATAATATGATCTACTGGAATACTTGCTAATTTAGATTACATCAAGCCTGGGATAATGACTGACTGGGTAGCTGATCCATCTTTGCTTTTACAGCTCCCTAGATAAGACTGGCATTTGCTGACACTTGATGATGTCCTGCCCCATGGAGGGCTTGGGAGCTGTCCTGCAGAGACTGATGTGCTCTGCTCCTCTCTGTCACTGCTGCAAGGTTCAGCCCTGGGACTGCTGGAGTCACTGGTACCTGCAGGCAATTTGGAGGTTCTGTCTTTTTGATTTTATGGCCTTCTACTCCGTGCGTTATATTATGTACTGATTGTTTTCCTCAGACCAATGTGTTTAAAATGCACTACTAGGGAGATAGCTCTTGCTTAAAAATATTCTTTTAGAATGCATTTGTCTGATCAGTACTTTAGCAATCTCTCCACCTGCTGTGTGATATGGCCGTTGTAAGTGAATGCTCTTGGTTAATGGCCCTGGGATGCTTCACTGGAAATGCTGAAACTGTCCTTTAGCAGGCTTGTACTATGATGGAGTATCTGTTCACAACATTATGAATGTTTCAAGCATCCTGCTTGATAGCATACACTCTGGTTAAGAATTATTAGATCTCTTGCAATTTAGCAGTAGTTGTCCAATTTATCATTTTTACATTATGATGAAAAACAATTCAACTAATGATAAATCAGCACCATTCTCCTTAACAATTTCTTATGCTGGCAAATGAGCAATTGACTTTGAACAGTAGGGGGTAGAACATTAAAAATAAAAAAAAGAATAACTAGGGGACCAGATTGCATTTCTATAAAGAGAAGAGGCAAGTAGAAATTGATGTCAGAATTACCCAAACTGACAAATGAAAGGACCAGAAGGTAATTTAGAAAAGCCATCCTGAAAAACTGTACCTGGACATCTGGTCCCTCTGCTAAATGATAATATGAATTATGATGTTTTGCAACTGTAGGAAATATGTTATTACTTGAGGTAAAGCCAGCAAAGAGGCAAAAAAAAAAATTAATTTAGGAATATAAGCTCAGTTCCCAAGAAGTTCCTAAATTCCTAAGAAGGTGTGGGAATACTGTCAATACTGCATTTGCACTTGGTATCTCAGTATCAAAAGAAAAGAAAGCAAGGGAGGGGGAGATCTATGACTCACCACAGCCATTTTTTATATAAAGCCAGAAACCACATTGTCATTTGATAAATGAAGCAAGAGTGAAGCCTGACATACAAAAAGAGAGTGAGTGGGAATTCCAGCCTGGGGAAGGGTGGAGGCTCTGCAAGTTTTCCAGTGACAACTCTTGTGTGTTTTTTTTTTATTTCTATGAAGTAGCGGATTCAGTTAAAGGCGTAACATGGACAAATCCTTGGCTTATAGTTCAAAGCAAAAATTGGGAAATCCTAAGAACTGGGTGGGTATTATCAGTTTATAAGAGTCATTTTATGTGCTAAGTTTATCAAGAAAATAGGGATACATCCTCTCTGTTGCATGTTGTCCAGTGCTATTCTGAAAAGGGACAACTTGCAATTCCAGGAAATACCAAAGTCCTTTTGGAAGTGAAAATATCAAGATTTTGGCACTTAAGACTGTATTGAGAGAGTTGGGGTTGTTCAGCCTGGAGGAAAAAAAAAGCTCTGGGGAGACCTTATTGCAGCCTTTCAATACTTAAAGGGGACTTACAAGAAAGATGGGGACAGACTTTTTCATAGGGGCCTGTATCAATAGGACAAGGGGTAATGGTTTTAAACTAAAAGAGCAAAGATTTAGGCTAGATATAAGGAAGAAATTTTTTATGACAAGGGTGATGACACACTGACCCAGGCTGCCCGGAGAGATGGTAGATGCCCCCATCCCTGGAAACATTCAAGGTCAGATTGGACAGGGCTCTGAGCAACCTGATCTAGTTGAAGATGCCCCTGCTCATTGCAGGGAGGGTGGACTACATGACCTTTAAAGATCTCTTCCAGCACAAACCATTCTAGGATTTTAGGATTCTATGATTCAAAGGAAATAAAGCACTGTTGCTGTAGCATTTACATGAATTCAAATTCAAATAATTTCACAGTGTCAGCCAAACAGGACTTGTGCAGAAACACTAAGAGAGCACTACATCCTTCTGTCATGGCACAAAGAGATTTTATACAGATGACTCTTCACAGAAGAAAATCCGATTGGGTGAGAATTCTGAAAGCTGGAGCATAAAGATTAAGAAATTAAGCTGTTGGGGAGGGGGTCATTTTCAGTCAGATCAGCAGGCCATTCTGGCTGCTGCACAGCAACATCATTATTAAATTTGTCACAGGAAGATGGCAGGGATGCACGAAGGGACACACGGAATAGCAGGACCACCTGCAAACCATTTGTACCATCATTTACAGAGTCTTTTCAAAGAACATGTCAGTGACAGACTGTCAGGGCTACATTTCAAGTATAGATTTCCCCTTTTGACTTCAGCAGTTGTCTCATTTTCAGGCAGACAAGGTCACACTTGCCAGACATCCATTAGGAAGTTTGTCTCTTGTTAGCTTTGTGTACAAAATCTCTTTCTTCAATGACTGTTAGGGAGAAGCCCTCATCCCTGGATCACCAGCATCACTAGCTTAGTCCAGGAGAGCCAGCAGCAGCCGACGAGAGAAGAGGGGTCACTCAGGCTGGGCATTTCTGCCAGACCACTACAGGAGGCAATGTCACCCTGGGACAGCGGGCATTTTTTATAATTACTATGGCACTGGCTCTGTAGTTTACATGTTAGACAGTTTATCACTAAAGATTCGTCATTCCAAGCCTGTAGATGCTGCACCTCAGGGACACATACAACAGAAAAGAGTTTTTGTTCTACCTTCAAAAAGAAACTACATTAGAAAAGAGAGTTACTTGTGTTGCAAAGTTAACTGTCAAAAGTTAGACATTTTTTGTGCACATTAATACAGACTCTTTGCTTATGCAACTCCATGCTATTTTTGTCACACAACCTATGCATCATTTATGCAAAGAATACATACACAAGGCAGCATAATTAAGATTGCATGAGAGACTGTAAATCTGCCATCTTTTGGTTTTGAGCTTAAAACCTTTATAGCTTAATTTATATCCATTTCCTACATAAAATTCCTAATTGCATGTCACAGTTTTATCCTACAAAGACAGGGACTCTAAAAGATGCCGATCAAACACCTTGAAGCATCAGCTTCCTGACTTCAAAAATTAAATATCATCAGTCTATGAAAGAGTTTATTTGATTTGGTTCCTTGCAACAACAGGGGACTGGGATTTGTGAAGAAGAAAAGTCACTCCCATTTCTGTGTTCCTAACAGATACTAATTTAGTTTAAGATTAATGTCAATGCTAACACCTTTATTTACAAACAATAAATGGGTAATGGGTCTTTGCTGCCTCCCATTGCCTCTGTGCACACGGGAATGCTGCTGGCACCTCTTACTTACCAGACCTCTTGAAGGCTGCCTCCAAAGATCTGGGTTGTCCCAGTAGCAGCTGCACCACTTCCACACAAATACTCTTGGAAATTTAGCAAGCATGGATCCAGGTTATTCTGCTCCTTTCCTCATCCAGCACTGCAGAAAGGAGAGTACAGGTATTACATCAGCTAAACTGCAGCATCCTTTTTCTGTTTAAACCTCAGTGCATCCTCTCAAATCCACGGCACTTCATTAAAGCTTTGAGAGTGGGGCTGCCCTCCTTTGTGCTTTGCAAGAATAGTAATGTTAAATGCTTAATAAATAAACTAAAAATAAGATAATAGGGTTATATTCTGCCTTGCATGCAGCACATTCTCTGTTTAGTTCCTCCAGTCTTTGCTTCAGTTGGCTGTGCCTCAACACTTCACTACAGACTTACCTTCTTCTCCTGCAAGAGGTGTATGTGGGGAGAAGCACTTAAAGCGGGAAGAGGGGCAAGCTCTTCTTAAAAAAACCTGTAAAAGATAAATTATCATTTATCGACATGATGATCAGTATGTCATCACCCAACACCACTAACACTGTGGTTTCAGTGAACAGTTTTTAAAATGTCTAGTTTTCTTGTGTTCAATGAGAATACTGGCTTAACTTTTCACTTCTTTTCTCAGTCAAACAACTTTGGCCCAAATCCTACAAACACACAAGTACTGAGTTCGTTACTGTGCGCTCTGCCACAGCCCTCTAAAGAGTATCTTTCACAGCCAGAGGGAAAGGGCTACTAAAATGGGTCAAGATTACCAATTGGTAAACAAAACGAAGCATTCTCAGTTTACTTTAGAATTTAAATAAAGAAGAAATTTTAAAGTAGCGTTACTATTTTTTGAGCGCCGGCGAAGCCCTGCAGGGTCGCACAAACGGCGACACTGAGTTCATTCATGGCCGGCACAAACACTCCCACTGTGCCACCTGAGGACAGGGCGCCGCAGGAGGCAGCGGGGTTTGGGGCTACCCCGCTCCGCGCCCCCCCAGACCCCGAGGGCGCAAAATACGCGGTGCGGGGGGGGGTGTCCCCCGGGGGCCCAAGCTGCAGCACCGCCGCCCGCCTCCCCCGGGAGGCACCGGGGCGGGGCTGGGCACACCCAGGGGAAGGGGCAGCCGGCAGCGCCCGCCGCGCCCCGCGGAGGGAGGGCTGCCCTGCCCCGGGGGCGGAGGGCCGCGGAAGCCTTTGCCTCCTCCTCCTCCCCCGGCCCCGGCGCACACGGGAGGAGCAGGCGGCAGCCGGAGGAGCGGCTCCGCGGCCCCAGCCCTGCCCCAGC